TACAAATGTGAAGACCGTCGGTGACAGAAAGAGGTCTGCAGAATCAATTTATTGAGTTGGACGTTTTATTCCACGAAGCCTGTATGTGAAGACTTGATTACAAATGGGTAAACCTCGTGTCACAGAATTAGGTTTGCCGTATAATTTTTGTCACGTTGAAGTTATTACACTGCAAAATTGCCAGGAACGAAGGTTGTGAGTCATCGAAGCTGTATGGATATAAATAATCACCTTTTCACATTTCACATTTTTAGACAGGGGTGGCTGATTTGGGTATCCCCGAAGGACCTAACATATGAACAACAACGAGGTTTTAGAGAAAATGGAAACAAAAAGAAAACTGATACTTAACATCAGCAAGAGACAGTTGAAGTTTCTGATGCACATAATGAAGGAAGATTTGGAAAATCTGTTACTCACAGGACAGATTGAGGAACAGAGGGAAAAAAACGCATAACATATTTGACAAGCTTGAGAAAATAGATGGCGGAACAAGGTTTAGAAATAAAGAAAAGACAGAAATTATTTAGAGCTTCAAGGGACAGGACATTGTTGAGAGCCATGGTCGCCTTCGCCCAAAGGGGACGCAGCACATACAGAAGAAAAAGACAGAGAGTAATTAAAACATCCTTTTCTTTTTTATTCAAAAATATTTGGATTAGTTCCTTCCAGATAAAAATCAAACAAAGTCTGTCTATATTTCTGAGATGAGGTATTATGTACAGTATTTACATTAGTCGGACTATTGTCCTCATCTTTGTCGCCATATTTGTTACAACGTTTCGGCCGTTGTACGCTCCGGCCTTCTTCAGAGAAAATACAAAGGATCTGCGGTTCATATAAGATCAGGACAACCTTCAAAAGCGTGACAACAGAGAGGAACATGACTAAAGACTGTGTGTATGCTATCCCGTGCAGCTGCGGAAAGGAATATAAAGGAGAGACAGGCCGCCCCCTCAAGGTAAGGCTTCAAGAACACCAGAAAGCTGTAACGCGAGGGGAATTAGAAAAATCAGGCGTGGCTGACCACATATGGAGAGAGAAGGGAGATCACCGCCCCCTGTGGGATCATGTTGAGATCATAGACAGGGAACACCATTGGAAAATTCGTAAACTTAAAGAATCAGCACATATGCTAGGCCACAAAAATCTCCTGAGCCGACCAAGCATAGAAATAAATACAATTTGGGAACCAGTAATAAGGAGTGCCAGAGAAAAGCAATGATAACAAAGTTGCAATATGAACTCTGGTAAAGACATGCAATGATAACAGCAAAATTGCAATATGAGCACTGGTAAAAATGATGCTGAAAACATTAGGTTTATAATACTCAGAAGTTCATACCCAGATGTCCTCAAGGACACATGGCACAGTGGATAAAGGCGTTGGTTAGATCCAGTGACAGACCCAAAGAAGGTGAGTTCAATACCTGGTTAAGAGAACTTTTAGAGGGAAAATTAGCAGGAGATAACTGATAACTGACATCCATAAAATAAAACATGGCACGTGGAACTAGATCGATATAAAGGGTTCAGTTCGAAATTCCAACCACCTGAAGAAGGCCGGAGCGTACAACGGCCGAAACGTTGTGACAAATATGGCGACAGAGATGAGGACAATAGTCCGACTAATGTAAATACTGTAAAAAATCAAACAAATTTGTATATATGTCATAGTGTACGTGTGGGAAAATACTGGAAAATCCCCTCTTACACACAATTCCTAACTGGACATAGTGGGGCATTCATAATGTAAAATGCATCATTTAAGCGTGAATAAATATATTTTTAATGAAAAAAAATAGACAATATTCTAGTTGTATTGGCCGAAAAAAAGTTTAAGCAAAGTAAAATAATTCTTAGTCTCCACTTTAAAAATTTCGGCATTCTACATGTTACATTCTCATTGTTTAGTTCGATATCTTTGAGTGGCGTATCCCTTTACCGATATTTCCGATACTATTACATTACATACATAGTCAAAACACACACACACACACACACACACACACATATATATATATATATATATATGAATGAAAAAATAATACATTATTATGAAGTCGGGCGAAACATAAGTCGATTGAACCACTATTTATTGACTATTGTCGTTCATGTTCAATGCTTAGTACTTTTATATATATATATATATATATATATATATATATATATAACGTTATTATAGTGGACACTTCTTATTTGAAATAGACGCCCCATTTTTATTTATGAGACAGTGTGTACTACGTATTTCTCTAATACGCAGATCGATGAACTGTTTAATAAATAAAAATGGGGCGTCTCTTTCAAATAAGAAGTGTTCACTATAATAGGTTTTGAAATAATAGAAAATGACGTATTAAAAATAAAACCATTAACTCTTAATGTATAAGAACGTTTAACAATTCCGAGACGTTATCCGTTACACCGACTGCTCATCTAAGCTTACAGCACTTGGTATTCTCAAGCGGTCACACTAGGCTCGATGTTGCTTAACTTTGGTGATCGTACGGGAATCGGTGTTTCAACGCGATTTGGTCGTAAGCAAGAGAGAAAAAGATGGACGAAGGTGTGAATGTGAATGAAATGAAAAGCAGTTATTGTGTTATTATATCTTTTCTCGTCTCTATTGAAAAGTGTAGGTGGAAAATTTTAATCTTATCAGACATTTCAATAGCACAACGCATGTCTGAAGATTTGTAATATCTTTTCCATATTTTATTACTTTATCTTTATTCCCTGCTCCACGCCCTTCTCTTCCTCTCCGTCCGATTTCTTTTCTCCCTTCTCTTATTTCGAGCAAGTATTTGGAACAATAAAAAAAACCCAAAAAACAAACTAAAAAAAACAACCAAAAACAAATAAAAAGCAACACAATACACAATCAACACTTTTACTCGCTAACCCTTCAGCACGGGACACAATCGATACGCTTTACGATCATTTACAGGTTTTACGGCTTCCTGACCTCTTCGCCGTATCTTACACTACTGACGAAAGCCACCAGCTTCTCTTTTGCCTCACACCGATCAACACTGCAACACCACCGTTCGCCTTTCGGCTATTCCAAAACGTGGGTGTTGCTTTACGCATGCTCTCAACGGTCCATGAAAAGAGACAAATTACTAACTTCTTATGCGTTATCATTGCTACGAATCTTTACAAAATCGTAATAATGTACTCAGTCTAAACTAGACTTCCTCTGCTTTCCGCACCTCCGAGGTTCGCTTAACAATGACTAAGCGCTAACTTAATTTCGTCAGCTGCTCTTTGTGGTGCAAAGAAGTTGAACAATCAACATTTCGTTTGTTCACGCGTGACGTTGCTTAAGGTTACGAGACTACGAGGAATCATAAACGCTTTAGCTACTGCAGTTACAAGCACTGATTATTTGTACTTCATAGACACGCCATTTTTTATAAGCTGCACTTCTCCGTATACAAAGTAGGCCAGGGCATTTCGAGCCGTTGCAGTTATTATTATTGTTCACTTACGTATTCAATATGTGCCGTGTCCCTTCAGCACGTAGGCGATCGTGGCTCTCCACAACTTCCTATCTCTTGTAGCTCTTAATAGACTTTGTCTTTCTCTTATTTCTCCTAAGCTCTGTTGCACAATCGATTCAGTCAAGCACACCATCTATGTTATGCTCTGTTTACATCTGTCCATCTTTCTCTTTCTGTCCCGTGAGTATCAGATTTTCCAAGCCCTCCTTCCTCATTATATGCCTCAGAAACCTCAACTAGCTCTTTCTGGTGTTAATCATTGGTTTCCTTTTTGTTTCCATTTTCCATAAAATTTCATGTTCGGTTCATGGTATCCTCAGCATCCTTCTGTAGAACCACATTTTTGTTGCTCCTCTTCATCTCCGAGAAGATCGTCCAGCACTTACTGCCATACATAAGGACAGATATTACGTAGCAGTTTTGTACTCTTTTCCTTGTTTCTAGCGATATTTTTCTATTTCTTAATACTCTGTTTAGATTTTGGAATACTTCATTAGGTATCCCAATACGTCTTCGGATTTCAGTGTCACACTTTTCATTCTCTGTTAAAACACTCTGTATTTAATATCCCACCCACGAGGAATCTATGTGGCACAAGGCCGAGTTTAAAGTGGGTTTCTCCGAGCCCGTAGGCTCGGCCAAAAATATACCCTTTGAACCCGCCTAGACGGGTTCAGGGCCTGTCTACCTCCTCGGACGAAACTTTGCCCTTCAGCAAATTCTCTGTTAAAAACACTCCACAGATAATTAAATTTCCGTACTTATTTGATTTTGGTATGTCCGATTTGGAATTAGGACTTTGGGCTCATCCTTTTGCTAACAACCAAAATATTATATCTTGCAGTTGATGTTTAATCCTTTCTTCTCACTTTCCTTCACAACATTTTGTAGAAGGTTTGTAGCTTTCTTTCTGTGTCTGCTACCAACACCGTGTCACCTACATACCGTATGTTGTTAAGATTGTGACCGACAATAATGAATCCTAGTATGACTTCTAGTTCTCTTAGAATTGCTTCGCTGTATTGGTTTAATAAGTCCGGTGAGAATACACATCCTTGTCTTACCGCCTTTTCTATTTTTTATATCTACTGAACTCATTCTCTATCCGTATGTAAGCAGTTTACTGCCAGTATAGGTTCTTGCTTATTCTAATATCCTACCAAAAATATATCTAGGTTGCTGCTCCAACAATAACTATTAATATTATATAATAATTTTGATTGATTAAGTAATTCATTTTCTACGGTTTATCAACCCTTTGCAGGTTATGTAATGACAGAAAATATTTTTAGATTATAAGAATTTTTTTGAGATAATGATTTAGTGATAGAAGTCTTACTAATTAACCCATAGCTAGGGTTGAAGAGGTGAGTTCATGCCTTTTCCAAGGGTATTTGCGCGTAAATTTAATATAACGAACCTAATGGGAATTGGAACTCTTCTCTCAGATTAATAATTCCGAAACATTATCCAAAACATCATTCACACATTCAAGCTTATAGCACCTGGTATTCACAAAAGGTCACCCATCTAGGTACGGTCCAAGCTCAAAGTTGCTTAACTTCGATGATCGTACAGGAACCGGTGTTTCAACGTGATATGTCCGTAAGTCTATAACATTTTTGTAATGATTTAATTTGAAAAAACAAAAAAAACAAAACAAAAAACAAAAAACTGTACTTATCTAGAAGGCTTTGTTCGAAAGGATTGCATCTTATGTCACCAATTTCTTCCGGTTTCTTACTTTCCCGCCAACTTTGATCTTCAACAAATTAAATGCAATGTCGATCGTTATCTATTTTTTTTTTTTAAGTCCCAACCGGCTAAAGATTAATATTTTATTTAATAACTCTAGAGGGAAAAGTCACTAGGATTCTTCAGTTTTTCTAATTAAGATTGTTTGCAACTGACAGAAAAATGAAATGCCTTTTCTCGGGAGTGTTCATAGGTATATATATATATATATATATATATATATATATATATATATATATATATATATATATGGCAATTAAAATTTCGATGTTTCTGAACCTTATTTTGCACAAAAATGATCACATCATCTTCGTATGAAAAATACAGAACGTCCGAATACCTACTACATTCCAGGTTAAACATAATTTACTACACACATGCGCACTCACATTTTCGATACGCACATACGAAGGGACGTTGAAAAAATCTCATTTTGACCCACATCCAAATATCTGGCCAGATGGCCGAACAGATATATTTCTTTTTGTGAGGATAGTTTCTTGCTCGGACCGAATAATTTTCAGCACACTTTCGAAATTATGTAGACACGTATACATTCATGTGCCTAGCCAATAAAATATATGGCAGGTGTACTCTAAATAGATTAGAAATATTTAGTTGAGTTGCAATGACCTATACACTCTGATAATCCGTCAAATGGCTAATCCGACCTGGCTAAAAATATTGCACTATAGGACTCGAACCTATACTAACTTTTATACTAGAGTCTTTCACTCAGCCAAAATAATATTAATAAATTTATATTTACTGTGGGTGATTTAGCGATTAAGCAAAATTCTATACATTTTCGTTTCAGTAAATTGCTTTATCTTTTAAATAAAGTAGAATTTTTAAAAACAAAATTAGGACAGACACATTTCGATGAGCAACGTATTGAGTGTATTGTTTGTAAAAGATCGCTTTTGTGTTCATATAATCTTTTATTTGAATTGAAGTTTCTCCTATGTATTTCTTGTGGCAATTATCACAGACAACAGAGTAGATATCTCTTTCAAATTTTAGCCTATTATTATTTTGTTTAGTATTAAGTCTTTTATTGATTTAGAAGTAGTCGCAACAAATTTTCTGTTAAGCTTAGATAAATTCTTCTCAGTTGTAATTGTGATATAATTAATACAAGCATAAGTTTTGAAACTTAGCTGATTGATGTTACCTTTAACATTGCTTCTCCAGAGTTTCGCAGAAGGAACCTTCAGCAATAACTCCATTCACTCTTCCGATATATATATATATATATATATATATATATATATATATATATATATATTTTTTCCCATATATATATATATATATATATATATATATATATATATATATATATATATAAACAAATGAAAACTACAGACAAAAGTTCATTTTCTCCATCAAGACATTCATTTCTGTAGTTCACTGCTACCAGCAAGCAGAATTTTTTTTCGTCTGATGATGGCCATGTTGGCTGAAACTAGTCGAGGAATCTAAATGAAATAATAATAATAATTAAAGCTAAAGAATATTAATCTACAACCCAGTGTGTCTGAAGATTTTAATTTTTTTTATTTGTATATATATATGTAGGAAAACGATATATAATTTTTGTATATATCAAAAACGATATATAGTTTTTGTATATATCAAGAAAATCTATGACAAGAGAAAAATATTGGATCACTCAGATTGACCTAACGAATCAAATTATGTTATTCTACCTATCAACTTTAGAGCAACTACAATTGTTAAAACTACTCTCTCTCTCTCTCTCTCTCTCTCTCTCTTACACACACACACACACACACACAAATATATATATATATATATTCCTTCTCTTGGACTGGCTGTCATGTTTAGACAGCTACCCTACTATTTAGACCATAGGTGGGAAAGCGAAGATACATATTCATACGTTTGCCAAGTGCAAAAGTAAAGACAACAGACTATGCAGAATTTGAACGCTAACCGCATATCGGCACACGGTAGACGATCAAAGTTGGTTAACAACAATCAGAGAGAATGCCGAGCTGTTGAAATAAACTGACTCCGTGTGCAAGGTTTGAATTTAGCAGAAAAGCACGACCATTTGAAAGAATAAACCTTTTCATGAATAGGTGATAGAAAGTCGATCAGTTATCACCAAGAATTTTTTTTTTAGTATTAAAGATCTTACAAATACTCGAGAGGCTTTGCTGCGTGTGAGTGTACAGTAAACCCATCGGTTTGAATCCAAACTAATTGGATAAAAAAAAAAAAAAAAAAAATCTCAACCTCTGCCAAAAGACCGTGGAGAACGATTTTCTGTTCACGCTATTACTCATTGAAAATGGCACTAGATTCTTGAGATTGTGTTTTGACCCTCAGCAGATCTTTTTTTTTTTTTTTAAATTTATATATATATTTATTTATTTTAAAGCGGCGTTCTAACGAAGAGGGTTGGCAGGAACTGACACTTCAAAATAACATCTGCAAGTTTTCAATGTCACTTCTCCTCCTGCAGCTCCCGGACTTCCATTCATTGAATGGCTCGACTCTTTGTGACAGAAGTTGAACAAATTTCTTCGTTTTGCGTCAGGTCCAATCCAAAGTCGTTATTTTCTATAGATATTTCTTTTGGGTTTGAGAAACGGAGGAGCATTTTAATGTTGCCAAAGAAAGCATTTTTTTTTTATTCCTGTAACATTTTATTTTGGCGTATTGACGATGTTTACTATTTAACTTGGATTTTACCTCATTGACATTGATTCGCTTTCTATTATTTTCATTACTGAATTTATTAATTTCATTATGCTCTTTCTTCTTTTTCTTCTATCTATCTATCTATCTATCTATCTATCTATCTATCTATCTATTTCTGTTCACATCTATCTTTGAAAATCGTTTCATCTCTCTCTCTCTCTCTCTCTCTCTCTCTCTCTATATATATATATATATATATATATATACGACTCGGAGTTTCATGTTCAGTACAATCTTCAGGTACTTATAATATTTTTAATTGTAAGTACCTGAAAATCGTACTGGGCATAAAACTCCGAGTCGTACTTTCGACGTAAGGTAATAGATATATTTATTAATATATACTTTATAGCTCTGTATTACCACATTGAGTACTACTGTGTTAACACCAAAAATTATTTATTCGCAAATTTATATATGCACGTGATCGCAAGCATGTGTAGTTGATTGTGCCTATATTTATTTAATTCGTAGTTATATATATATATATATATATATATATAAATATAAACATAAGCATGTTATATCTAACATAAGCGTGTTATAACATCACTACAAAAATAGCCATTTTGTTTCAACACTTCTGGTGTCTTGTCAAGTGACGGTGTTGATTGCAAAATAAAGAGTTTTAAAAAGGTCACCCCTCCCCCGTGGGGGTGAAAATTGTTACGTAAGCTATGATGGACAATAAAATGCAAGTATATGAGAATTCAAATAACTTAACAACGGACCCTAGATACAATTTATGAATGCTTTAATATTAAATTAGATTAGAAATCAGTATAACTAATTAACTTTTAATTTACTATGCAGTTAAATTTAAAATATAACCATGCATTAAGTGTAGAATAATACGAAATTATTCAAAGAAGAAACGGGGAAAATATACATATATTTTATGTATTGTTCTTAGCTACATATATATATATATATATATATATATATATATATGTGTGTGTGTGTGTGTGTGTGTGTGTGTGTGTGTGTGTGTGTACCTCCAAGGATTCGCTAAAAAGAAGCATACAAGAATACCCCCAAATTAATAAAAACAATTTATCGTAAAAACCTTTGTGTTATTATTAAGAGGAATGATCAAAGAATTTTTTCAAGTTAAAAAAAAAAAATCAAACAGTTTTAGAAATTTAGTTTTTCTTGTGTCAACCTGGGACCATAAATTAGCACGGGGAATTTAATCGTTTTTCGCTGTAGAAGTCACATTGATTTGCAAATTCTTGCAAAAATCACATAAATGCCAGATTACTATTTACATTATTCGGACTATTGTCCTCATCTTTGTCGCCATATTTATTACAACGTTTCGGCCGTTGTACGCCCTGGCCTTCTTCAAGTGGTTGGAATGTCGAACTGAACCCTTTATTTCGCTGACTGGGGTTCTAGTTCCTCGTGCTATGTTTAATCGATGTCACTTATCAGTTATCTCCTGTTAATTTCTCCACTGACTTAACCGGGTATTGAACTCACACTCTTTGGGCCCTGTCACTGGATCTAACCAACGCCTTTATCCACTGTGCCATGTGTCCTTGAGACAGATACCGAAATGCCAGATTTTAATGAAACTTAAGGGACTTTTTCATAAATGAATTTCAGTTATTTTTGTAACTTATTTTTATGAAAATCTTGTTAAAATGTTTTTTGTAGATTTGTTACTTAAGTATGTGTTATTTAATTTTTTGAAATTTCGAGAAATTCTTTTTTGTAGGGTTTAATGTTTATATTAATTATAAGAACAAGTCCTAAGAGATCAAGGTTTTTTGGTCAAACAGTTACCAAACCAGTTACCAAACATTTGTTCCGAATTGTGAAATAAAAAAAAAATTGTATTGATTTGTAACGGTCAAGTGATATCATTATTGAATAAAAACTATATTTTCCAATCATAAATATAAACGTTTACTACAATTCAGCGACCCTCGATATTTTAAAGGGAATTTTAATTTTGTGTGCATTCGTGCCTGCGCGCGTGTGTGTAAACATGCCGATTTTTGTAAATACAGACGCCTATATACGATATTATCATAAAATAATAGTGGTAACAATAATAAATTTAATGTCTAAAATTTCCTCACCAAGCGTCTTAGTAAGTAGAGCTACAAAGCCAAAAC